CCCGGCCCCCGGCGGCGGCGACTTCCGGCCAGGCGCTGTGTTTTGCTTCCGGCGGGGCCTGGCGAGGTCAGGAGCAGCCGCTCGGCTGCGCGGCGTGTTCCTGCGCCTGCGCACAGAACGCACCTTTCGGAGCCGCTGTGACGTCAGAACGGCCTGGCTACCAGCCTGCATGGAGCGAGCTAGAACCCTGCACCACATCCTCTGGCGAGGAGTTCCACAGGTCGACGGCGCTGGGTGGAGAAAAACTTCCTTTGCTTTGTTTTAACCCTGCTGCCTATTCCTGGCATTTGGTGACCCCTACTTCTTATATTGTGGGAATAAGGAACTAACTTTTTTCCACACCAGTCATGATTTATAGTCACACCTGCCAGTACACACGGGAGGGGAATGAAGGGCCTCCACCCCCATTACCTAGTCTGACATTGGCCCAAAGCAATGGTAAGAACTGGTGTCTTATTCTTACGCTTTAATGTGATACAGCATCATTGTGCCTATGCTGAGGCCAGGGGCTCTGGCAATATAGCTAATCCATCTTGCTGCGCAGCTACAGCTAGGTAGGTGGAAGAACTCTTCCACCGACCTAGTGCTGTCTACGCCAGCAAGTAGGTCAATGTAACACTGCTGCTCAGACATAGGCAACAAAAGCCTTGTTTTGTTCTCTGGCTTGTGGAATAAGCTGGTGCCTCCATTCAGTTCCTGCTGGATGGGCTTCCCTAGGCCAAAATCCCCACCACAGAAAGCACTCACAGGGACTGCTCAGCTAGGACGTGAAGTAGTGACTTAAGCTGGGCCCTACCTCCCATAGGTGGTAGCTTCACATTAGATTGAAGTGAATCGACACATTACCTGGGCTGTGCTTGTTCTGTGAATGGATAGGACTTTGTGTCTACAGGCTCTTAATGGGGGGAACATTTTTTGGGGCAGGGGGCTGCTGACCCACAGAAAAATTAGTTGGGGGCCAAATACAATTGAGAAACCAAAACCAAACGCTCCCTGATGTGTCTCGTGACTGAGAAGGAAAAAGATGCTCCTCACATTCCCCTCATTCATAAGAGCCTAGGGGATCCCAGACTGGAAGAATTTGTGGGCTCCAGCCCTGTGGTGGGGCAGTAGGGGGGCTGGAGTGCCAGTGCAGGCTTCCCAATGCAGGGGGGAGCCCTGAGCCCCAAGGGCCAGATCCAGGCAAGCCAGGGGCTGCATCCAGCCCCTAGGCTTGAGATTCCCCACCCCTGCTCTTAATCAAGCACCTGGAAGGAAAACATACAAAATGCTTTGGGTAACTCAAATAGCAGGTGACCCATAACATATTTTCAGAGAAATTAAAATTGCTGTACCACCATTGCCGTGGAAATATTTGACTCAAATCCAAGTGGAGATAGCAGAAAGCTTGTTTATCAGAGCCTGGGGGCAGGGAGAGGGAATTCGGCTGCAGGTCCATTACAGCATACCAGCAGTGGCCAGGTTTACTCAGCCTCTTATTCCAGTTGCATGGAGAGCAAAGGAGGCAAAAGTAGCCACCAATTCTGGGCTGCAAGAATGTTGCATCTGTCCATTTTCCCCCCAGAGATCTCATCCTGAAAGTCCTATATGAGAGTCGGATGTCCAGCCCTCTTCCATGTCACTCATCATTCTTTAACCACAAAGGAAAGGCTGCTCCTAAATGAAATCCCTGGAGAGAGGAAGTCTCACGATACATAGAAAGACCCATAAAGCATCCTTGCCCATCCCTATTCCTGCACCAAGTGCTCCTCAGGTCCCCACCGTAGACAGGCTGTGAGTGGCAGTGTCCCATTTCTGGAGATATCTAACTTGCTCTTAACTAAGTTTATCAGGAATGGTCCTGCCATGAGGGAGGGGACTGGATTCAATGACCTCTCGAGGTCCCTTCCGGTCCTGGTATTCTATGATTCTGGGCCACATGCCCTGATCTCTCCTGCATTGAACAAGCATCATCTACTAAACTGCCTCATTGGGCTCCAGGCCGCTGCCACCCTCTACTCCCCAGCGAGCCACAGCCCCACATCTTGCTTTTTGTCATGCAGGCTCAGCAGAACACTGCTCAGGGATGTTGTGTCTGGCGCCTCCTTCCTGATGCAGCTCCCCTCATCACTAGGGTGGCTTCAGCATGCATCCGTCATCCTCACTGCCTGCCAAAAAATGGGGTGAGAATGCGCAGAGCCCAGCCCTTCTTGTGGTGCAAGACAAGGTTGAGTGCCAGCCTAAGGCCACAGAGACACTGCCAGAGCTGAGTGCACAATATGCCAAAATAGGCACCTGCTGCTTGTGCCAAGAACTATAGGGCTGCGTCTAGACTGGCATGATTTTGCGGAAATACTTTTAACAGAAAAGTTTTTCTGTTAAAAGCATTTCCGCAAAAGAGCATCTAGATTGGCACAGATGCTTTTGCGCAAAAGCATCCATGGCCCGTCTAGACATGATTTTGCACAAGAAAGCCCTGATTGCCATTTTCACCATCGGGGCTTTTTTGTGCAAAACAGTTCTTCTCTGTCTACACTGGCCCTCTTGTGCAAGTATTCTTGCGCAAGAGGGCTCCTCCCTCCCCGCCCCCCCGAGCAGGAGTGTAAAAATATTTGCGCAAGAAGCACTGATTTTGTAAATTACAGAGTCAGTGCTCTTGCGCAAATTCAAGTGGCCAGTGTAGACAGCTGGCAAGTTTTTGCGCAAAATCTTGCCAGTCTAGATGCAGCCTAGGTGTCCAGCTAAGCGTCAGGGAAGGACATTTCCATGGGGTTTCTAGCCAGCTCTCACTCTGCTTCCTCATAGCACAGTGACTCCATATGCCACGAGACCTAGACTCTTGTAATGGCTTTGTCAACTTTGCCACTTTGTTACCAGGTTTAGTGACTTTTTGAGAGAGTCACTTAGTTTGTTTCAGCGGAAACAGTGAGGAGTCCTGTGACACCTTAAGGACTAATACATTTATTTGGGCATAAGCTTTCCTGGGCTGGAGCAAATCAGTTGCATCTGACGAAGTGGGCGGCAGCCCACGAAAGCCTGTGCCCAAATACATGGTAGTCTTTAAGGTGCTACAGGACTTCTGGCTGTTTTTATAGTGACTTTCTGGTTTGCTTAGCAAGGAAATAAGTATCAAAGGCTATGTTTACACTGCAGGGACAAGTTGGAGAAAGATATGCAAATTGTGAACCACAATTTGTGTATCTTTTTCCGATTTTCTTCCGAAAGAGGCTTTTCCGACATTTGGCCTACTGTCGGGAAAAAACCCTCTTTCGGAACATCCCTTCTTCCTCATAGAATGAGATTTACAGGGATGCCGAAAAACTGTGTCTGCTTTTCCAAAACAATTTTCTGAAAAGTAGACACATTCCTTGGACACGGCAGAGCTTTTCCGGAATACCTCCAGTATCCCGGAAAAGCTCTGCTGTGTAGACATAGCCAAAGAGACCAGTGACAAATTAGTGACTTTAGCTGCTGACTACAGTAGCAGAGACAGAAGTTGCCAATTTGTATAGTCTCTCAAAATCCTTCCCAAGCAGCACAATAGTGTTAATAAAATCTGTGCTCTTACTGCAAGTCACAGTCATTCCGTCTGACTTGGGCATGTCCTTGGAAGGAAGCACATTCCAGGGTTTGAACTGAGAGGCTATGACTGGGACAGGATTTGATTCCAGCTGCTGGTGGCAGAATGAATGAATGTAACTGGGGCTCAGCTTCAATTCTTTGATGGCAGGGTGGTGGTGAAAAGCCATATCTAATGGTGAGGAAAAGCTGGAAGAGGGAGGCTACAGCAGCTCCTCAGTTAAAAAGTTATGATCTTCTGCTTAGTAACAAGTAGTATCCCAAAATAGCTATTCCATGTCTTTTAAACAAGCCCATTATTTTGAAATAGCTTTCAAATAACAGGCTCACTATTCTGATGTCTCTGTAAATCTCATTCCATGAGGATTAAGGGACATGTTGGAATAGTGCTCTATTGTGAAATTTGGCACCAAATTTCAAAATAAGCTGTTTTTAAAAATGCACTCGAAAGAAGCTACGCAATTTGCATAGCTCATTTCTTGCTACAGGTGCAGTGTAGACATGCCCTTCGTGACCATGGCAGGTGCCACTCTCTGGGTGAGGGTGATTCAGGAAAATCCACGTGTCAACATTGGGCCTTTGAAACCTTAACTAATGGAAATCCCTCTCCAAGGGGCAGGAAGCTGGCTTGTCTAGCTGGGCGATTCCTTGGAACTTTGCTGAACTTGCCCGTCACTAGCTTCTGTGCTCAACCTGCCCGGCAGCCAGAAACCTCTTTCCAGCCCCTTACCAACTGAGATATGCCAACAGAGCTGGTCAGGGATAACAAAATAAACTCAACTGCCAAGATGCTTCAGCCAGAGAGGGAGTTTCCTGCATTGCTGCTGCTTTCTGGGCAGCACCTGGGAGTGTCCTCTTGCCCAGAGACAAGCTTATAGGTTACACCTTGACATCCCTGTCTGAGACAGTAGGGGGAGGGGAATGTGGGTATATTAACGGGATGGGACTCCGGCATAGTGCTAGTGCCTTCTCCACACTAAGCGCTCCCATTGAGCCCCACTAGGTGGCGCCCAGAGCAGGCACACAAGACCAGGTTGGTGGTAGGTGCAGATACAACAGCTCAGCTGTGGAGCCTGCCTAGTGGGTTTACAGAGGGGCATTCAGGGAAATGAGGCGAGGGGCTAGGGTAGGAAGCAGGGGGTAGGAGTGGAGGGGGTTCCCCTGAAAATGTGACAAGGACTTTTCTGAAGGCACTGATCCATGAAAGTACTTAAATGTGAAATCCAAGCACTGGAGTGGTTCCATTGATTTCAATGGACAATCAGATGCTTCTAGCTGAACATATTCTTAAAGGGGTGCTGTACCGAGGCCGTAGTATTGGAGTAGATTTAGAGTAAGCACTTGAAAGTCATACTATTAAACTTTGTAATGTGAATGGCAGAAGGGCCAGCTGTGAAGCTTCAGTCCAAATTCAAGTTCCTAAATTTCAAATCCAAACCCAAGCCATTTGGCAAGATGTTTGGGATTTGGAGTTGTGAACTGGCCCTCTTAAAAATAAACTTGAGCTATCAAGTTGAACTCTGGATATAGAGCTGATCTTCCTCATGTTTTGTTTAGTTTAGATTCTATGTTCTACTTTTGGGTCCATCTCTTGTTAGAAATTAACTGTAAAGAGGAAATGGAATTTCAGCTCAGATGTGACTTGAATGTTACTGGTAACTGGGCTGGATATAGGATATTAAAACAGATTTCTATGCTCCATTTTCCAAAAATTGTTTCATGCCACTATTCTCCTACCATGAATTTTTTTCCAGGCTTGCTAATGATGCAACAGATACCAGAAGAGTTAGCTGACAGAAGAGATCTTCACAGCCACTAGAAGATTTAGTAAGACATTTTCTGATATTTGTTATGCCGAAGAGAGCCAAGGTCACGTTATAAACTCAGAAGAAAAAGATGATTCAAATGGAGGATAAAAATAATAAGATTAAATTAGAAGAGATTCTTGATGTAATTATTGGGTGCTGCTATTATTACAGGAGCTCTCAAAGATACATTGGCATTGGAAAAGATTCAGGAAAAGGTAACAAATTATTAGGGGTTTGGAATGGGTCTCCTATAAACAGATTAAAAAAAACGGGACTTTTCATTTTAGAAAAGGGGAAACTAAGGGGGGAATATGGTAGAGATCTATAAAATCATGACTGGTATGGAAAAAGTGAATAAGGAAAAGTCATTTACTTGTTCCCATAACATAAGAACTAGGGGTCACCAAGTGAAATTAATAGGCAGCAGGTTTAAAACAAACAAAAGGAAGTTTTTCTTCACTCAGGGCACGGGCCACCTCTGGAACTTGTTGCCAGAAGAGGCTGTGAAGACCAGGATTTCAACAGGCTTCAAGAAAACTAGATGAATTCATGGAGGTCAAGTCCATCAATGGCTATTAGCTAGGATAGGCAGGAATGACGTCCCTAGCCTCTGTCAGAGGCTGGGAATGGGGGACGAGAGGGATTGCTTGAAGAGTAATTCCCTGTTCTGTTCACTCCTGCTGGGGCATTGGGCACACTGCAGACAAGATACTGGGCTAGATGGACCTTTGGTCTGACCCAGCCTGGCCATTCTCATATCAAAGGACTGGATTATAAATATCTCTGTACTCACAATCAGTGGCTCTCAATCTTTCCAAACCATTGAATCCTTTCAAAGAGTCAGATTTCTGCCCTGGGAAGCAGAACTTAGACTTCAGAATGTCTCTTAGCTTTGTGGAGGCCTCTGCTTACCACCCCCTAATGCCAGCCCAGCACTTGCAGCTCCCTCTCTATCCCACCGCACACCGACCCCCTGGAGAAACACCATCAACAAAAAGAGGTGGAGTTTATATGTTCTCTGGTATTTAGATACAGGACCAGTGACTATGGGATCTCTGGAGGGTCACACACAGCGTGTCAGAACAAGGGTTTACAGTTTGTTATAGGAATCTGCCTGAATTTGTATTTTACCACCATAGTTAGTACTTAGCCTCTGGCTCCACCATCAAATCCCAATTGTGCAGAAATAAAAAAAATATAACTAGCCTCTGGGACTTCAAAGCCAGAAATAGATTTTTGGGAAAAAGTGGTGGAAATTCTGAGCCAAGTTAAATGAATGAGAAGAGATGCCTTGTTTCAAGTTAAGATCAGATTTATTTTCAATTGTTTTGGCGAAGATATTGTGTAACTTTCTGCCCCGTTGTGGAGATTAATGAATAAACTGTACCTGCAGTATCCGCTTTACATCCGTACCAGCTGATGTCCTTGCATGACAGCAAGTCACAAGGACAGGCCCAACATAAGCAGGTGAAGTTTTTCTGAGGGAAACCATTTGGGCAGTGTCTGACACACACCTGGGAAATGGCTCTTCTACCACACAAGGCACAAGCAGAAGACAGAACAGGCTCAAAGGGCAGTTTTTGGAATGGGAGGATCTGCCTGGTCAGAATTGTTGCTCTTGTGCTTACTGGCGTAGAAGTTTGGCCTTTCCTGAAGTGTCTGACAGTTCTGCCAATTATGCTGCCTCAACTAGATCCAGTCTGGAGTCTAAATAGCTCAGTTCCTGGGTGTCTGGTTCTGGAGCTGCCAGTCATGAGAAAGGAAGAAGATTCCTGCACGAAGGATGACTATTCCTGCCCAGTGAAGAAGCATTTCCAACTGTTTCTTCAGCCAGTCTCACACATTTCCTGCACTCCATCATCACAGTGCCGATCATACCTGGGCACAGGTTTTTCTGGCAGTTTTAGGAAACACCACAAAGAATAGTTCACCCTGGTGTAAACCCCCCATTGATCAGAAGCACTACAGCAGGGACTAAACATCCTCATGTCCTCAGAAGAGCTGAACACAGAGACCTGCCTTTACTTGCAAAGTTTACACAGTTACCAAAAATCCTTACAGGGAGATTGCCCAAGGGAACCATCTGACTCATGGTGCACAAACCCTGAACTGCCTTCACAGACTGGAGTGCATGCACACCTGGTTAACCCCAATCAATATTTAAGAATTCAGCTGTATTCAGATTTAAAAATGAATCTGAAAAGCATTTAGCAAAGACTGAACCTGGAGAGAAGGATGCATGTTGAAAAGGGACTAGTCAGCCCAACTCTGGCTTTAGGCTAAGCAGGCAGCAAAAACTGGAGCCAAACTCCCTTCTAGTAAGAACTCCAAAGATGTCAGTGCAGTAACAACAGGAATGTATGTGGTGCAGCAACAATCCAGTACTGCAAAAATACTCCAGATTCCTCAGTATACAAAACGTAAGGTAATACCCACTGACAGAGGTCCCAACTTTCTGAGCCCTCATTGAGTATGTACATGTAGGTATTGCTTTTAAATGCAATACAAGATTCTGCTTATTGCCCCTTATCCCCAAGAAAAATGGTGTTGTCTAACTCCCATTGTTGCCCCAACGGTAAAGTGATTTATTGGTTTACTCTTCTGCATCCTTCTGAACTGTGCTATTTCTGTAAAACACAGATCAGCCAGCAAGCTAGAGCCTGGAAGCAGATCAGTGAGCACAATATTGTGCTCTGGTTGAAAATATCAGCTGTTTCAAATTTATTCTCCTATTTAAAAGGAGTTGAATTCCCCACTAATTGAGGTAAATTCTTCTCCAATACAGCCAGTGCGCTCTACTTCCTCATAACATATTCTCAAAGATCATGTCCTGCCCTGCTGCCAAGGGCCCATAGTACAGGCCACCACAGTGGTTTAAAAACTATGCTTGATTGCAAGAGTTCATTAATTCTCAAGCATAGGAAAGCAGCCAGGGGCGAGTGCATGCAGGCTGACATGGTACATTTCCCTAGCACTCCCTAGCATCAACTCCTACAGCACGGAGTCAGCGAGACAAATCTCACCGGTGCTGCGCCTGTCCTTAGCCTCACATTATTCCCAGGGAATGCTAGCTCCCCTGCTCTTTGCCATTGCACAGTGCTGAAGCAAGGCACACAGAGGCAAGGGGATTTCCAAACTAGCATCTTCTGGCTGCCACCGCTTTGTTCTGCCACAGGCCGGGGCACTTCTGATTTTCTTGGAAGTGAAGAGAGAAAGACGATTAACACCAGGCAGTGTACCCTCCCCATGTGGAGTGCAGCACATCCCCAGAAGCAGCCTCCCTGGTGAGCTGTTTGACAGTGACAGCATGGAGTGTACTCAGCGAGCAAATATAGTCACAAGAACCTAAGAGCTATTTGGTAGGGCTCCCAAGTGGAATATTGCACCCAGTGGTAACTAACACTAAAAGCTTTAAACTGTGTAGAAAATTAAATGGTTTTGCATAATACAAAAATAAAGATACACCACATTGTTCTATGCTAGTTAGTGAACAGCAGTGAATTTCAGTTGAGTGATCCCTCATCTGCATGAAACAGATCCAAACCAGAGCGCTGTAAATACTGCCATCAATCCCGTAATTATGGCTATTTGAGTGAAGCAAACAGAATCCCTGAGAAACCATTCACACCATTCGTTTGTCAAGCAGCTCTTTCTTGGAGGATGATCGTGATTCTGAGGTTCAGCTGTAAAACATTTACTCTTTTCTTCTTTAGCAAGCCATGTCATTTATTCCTTGAAAACATCTTAACTCTTCTTAGCTGTGTCCACAGATCATGCCAAGTTACTGGGAAACAGTCCTCCAGCTGGGAAAGAGATTCCAGTCTGGGGTTTTCTTTTCCTCATAACATCACAGCAACAAATCACCAGGTTCTTCCTCTGGGGAAAATCAAAATAGAAACATACATCAGTGGCAGGGAACAGAACATAAGAATGGCCAAACTGAGACAAACCAAAGATCCCTACGAGACACCACTAGTTACCCCCTACCTCTCTCTAGTCTGAAAACTGGCCATGTATAGCTACCCTTTGTTTCCTATTTTTTAGCCAATTACTAATCCATGAGAGGACCTTCCCTCTTATGCCACGGCAGCTAAATGGCTTAAGAGCCTTTAGTGAAGGAGCTTGTGAATGGTTTTCTAAAAAAAGCTAAGTACACTGTATCAACTGAATCCCCCTTGTCCATGTGTGTGTTGACTCCAATTCGAGTAGACTGGCGAGTAATCAGTTCCCTTTACAAAAGCCATGTTGACTCTCCCCCAACAAAATATGAGCATCTATGTATCTGGCAAGACTGTTCTTTACTATCATTTCAACCAGTTTCCCCAGGACTAAAGTTAGGCTTACTGGCCTACAGTTACGAGAAAGACCTGTGGAACCCATTTAAAAAAATTAGCCATCTTCCATTCATTTGCTACACAGGCTGATTTAAATGATAGGTTACAGAATGGTTCCTGTAAGGAAGCAAAGAGAAGCTGCATCAGTACTCGCAGCGCAGGTACCTCCATTCGGGCACCTGGATCAGCCGGGGAATAATCCAGATGCATTGCGGGGATGAGGGCAGCTCTCTGTGCAGTGGCTTCTCCCTCTCACTTCCTGGTCCCATCGCTTTTTAGTCATGCGGGGGAGAAGTCACTACACAGGGCGTTTCTCCCCACTTGCCCAGCTCCCATGCATCAAACACAGCCTTGCATTTGGGGTCCCCACTCCACTCCTCCTGCACTCCCTACCCAGCCTCCCAAACTCCTGCCATGCTGAGCCTCATCCCAGGACATGATGTAATGTAAAATATACTGTGTGAAACATGCCTCCCATTCTCCCACCACCTCTGATTTAAAGAAAGCACTGTATCATCACAATCATCGGGAGCCCCTACACTTAGACCTCTCCACACCCAGAACCCCTGCACTCAAACCCTCACATCCCCCTGAATTGGGAGCCTCCCGCACCTGGAACCTCACCTCACTGCATCCTGACCCCCACCAACCAAGCTTCACTCCTCCAACATTCAGACTCCTCATGGAGTTCCCCACACCCAGACCCCTTCCCCATGAGGTAAAACCACCTTCACCTACACTCCCCTGCAGAGTCCTATTCCCCCTGCAACCAGAACCATCCAATGAGCCCCTGTGCATCCAGATTCTCTGTACTTCAGGGACTTGTATGCCAAAATAATTCTGCAAATATTTGTCAAAATAGCACAGAAACTCAACATTTTTAACTTTCAAAACACTTGTCAAAAGAGAACTGAGACTAGTGTGACTACACTGTGTGATTTTGATAAATAAAATATGCAGAGTTTTTAAATTATTGCATGCAGAATGTTTAACTTCTTGGCACAGAATTCCCTTGGAAGTAGCTGGCATATAGTGCCCATCTATAAAAAGGGAAATAAGGACAACCTAGGAAGCTACAGTGCAGTTAGCTTAACTTTTGTACCACAAAGGTAATGGGGCAAATAATTAAGGAGCCAATCTGCACACTTCTAGAATAAGATAAGTTCATGAATTTGTAAAGAACAAATCATATCAGACCAACCTGAGAGCTTTCTTTGGCAGGATAACAAATAGTGCCCATCTATAAAAAGGGAAATAAGGACAACCTAGGAAGCTACAGTGCAGTTAGCTTAACTTTTGTACCACAAAGGTAATGGGGCAAATAATTAAGGAGCCAATCTGCACACTTCTAGAATAAGATAAGTTCATGAATTTGTAAAGAACAAATCATATCAGACCAACCTGAGAGCTTTCTTTGGCAGGATAACAAGCTTTATGGGTAAAAGGGAAGTGGCAGATGTGGTGTATCTAAACTTTGGTAAAGCAGTTGATACAATCTCCCATGACCACCCTCATTAATAAACTAGGGCAACTACAACCTAGATGGTAGGTACATAGCTGGCTGGCTGACCAGTCTCAGAGTCATTACCAATGGTTCACAGTCACTGTTGGAAGAGTCCAGGTATGGAGGGACTCCCGCAGGGACCAGTTCTGTTCAGAATATTCATCAGTGATTTAGATAATGGCACAGAGAGCACATCTGTAAAGTGTGCAGTTGATACCACACAGGGCTTTGGAGGACAGGACTAGCATTCAAAATGATCTGGACGAACTGGAAAAATGCTATCAGTCTCACACATACAGAATGGGAAGTGACTGTCTAGGAAGGAGTCTGGCAGAAAGGGATTTAGGGCTCAGTGAACCACAAGCTAAATATGAGTCAATGGGGTGACACTGTTGCAAAAAAGCAAACATGATTCTGGGCTTCATTAACAGGAGTGTTGTGCGCAAGACATGAGAAGTCATTCTTCCGCTCTGCTCTGTGCTGATTAGGCTTCAGCTGGAGTGTTGTGTCCAATTCTGAGCACTACATTTGAGGAAAAATGTGAAGAAATTGGAGAGGTCCAGAGAAGAGCAATGAAAATGATGAAAGATCTAGAAAACATGACCTGTGAGGGAAGACTGAAAGAGTTGAGTTTGTTTAGTTTGGAAAAGAAAAGCTTGAGGGGAGACATAACAGCTTTCAAGTATCTAAAAGGGTGTTCCAAGGAGGAGGGAGATAAATTATTCTCCTTAACCTCTGAGGATAAGACAAAAAGCCTAGGGCTTAAATTGCAGCAATGGAGATTTAGGTTGGACATTAGGGAAAACTTCCTGTCAGGGTTGTTAAGCACTGGACTAAATCTCAGATTGTGGGTTCTAGATCAGTGGATCTCAGATTGTGGGTTGGGACCCCAAAGTGGATCATGACCCTTTTTAATGGGGTTATCAGGGCTGGCTTAGCCTTGCTGAGGTCTGGGGGTAAAGCCCGAGCCCCACCATGAGGCCAAAGCTGAAGTTCAAGGGCTTCACCCTGGGCATTGGGGCTCAGGTTATAGGCTCCTTATTTGAGGCTGAACCCTTGGCTTTGGCCCCTCCTGGCTGGGTACGTGGGGCTCAGGTTTTGGACCCCAGCCTGTGGTCATATAGTAATTTTTGTTGTCAGACGAGGATTTACGTTTGAGACTGCTGCTCTAGATCAACTCCTCTGGCTGCTGAAAGGGGGAAGGCTCTCAGTCTCTCTTGTCCCTCCCAGGGACCTGACTGCTGACAGTGCAGGCGAGGGGTCCACTCTCACTCTGCTCTGTCTGTCTTTGAGGCTACTCACAGCTTTGCTAAGCGCAGAGCAAGGCTGCCCCCATTCTCAGTGATGTTACAGTTCTTCACAACTTCAGAAGCCCAAGTAGCAGTGCCAGTGCCATCTGCCGGCCGCCGCAGGAAAGGACACAGGACACTGCTGCGGGTTTCCCTTGGGAACTGCAGGGGTAGAGCTCTCTCGCGCAATCAAGCCCTTTTGGTCTGCAGACGATGAAGGCACTTGGTGAAGAGAGCTCTAGGTTCCTGCAAGCCATGAGCTCATCTGGGGCTGAATGCTCTTCTGGCCACCAACATGACTGCATGTGTGAATGCGCGGCCGCAGCTAGTCAGTCGGACACTCCCGCCAGAGCCAGTTCCAAAGGTATCTGAGAACAGGGAGTGCAGGCTTTTCTAGCCCAGCCATTTGCCGAGCAGGGACACAGTATTGGCAGTGCCTTTCCCTGCAAACCTCGAGGGAGCTCCTGTTTCTAGCCAGGCAATAATTCTGTCAAGATTTCAACAACCAGGTGTAATGGGGTGCACTCTCCTCTTGCATGTGCCTGAACTCTTCTGTGGTGGCTCTTTGGTGGCCCAGCCAGGGACTTGGTAGCTAGCAGCTGTCTGCAATGTCCCATTAAATAACTAGGTGTCATCTGAACAGGAAGGATAAGGCGAACATCCTTATGATCTGCATCATGATGAACTTAGGAGAGGATTCAAACAGCAGCGCTGGCTGAGATTTAAAGCGCTTCACTTCAAGGTTTACAGACTAGTCCCCTTGCAGGCACCACAGAAAACAGGCAGGGTGAGAGCAGTGTGCAGATTTGTGAGAGACACACAGCAACAGCACGTCAGGGACTTAACACATAGCTGATTGGATTGCTGCAGTTGACTTGCTCCTAAAGCCAACCTGCTACAGACCAAGCATCATGTGTAACTACAACTTAGCACATGCCAGCCCAGATCTGACTAGCCTCTTATTCCCCCTCACCCTTCGATAGGTGAAATCCCTTAGAAAGTGAATTAGGTTCACGTACATTTACAACCACATGGTTAAAACCGTCTGGGACAGTAATTTTGGTACAGGTTGGACCTCCCAGGTCCAGCATCCTCGGGACCTAATTGGTTCCAGACGAGGGGAGGTCAATGCTGGCCCCCTGGACTAGCCATTGCCGCCACCAGCCCTGCTGGGGCTGTCATCCCTGTCAGGACTGCTGCCTCCAGCTGGACTCCCAGGCCTTGCACTGCCATCCCGGCAGGGCTGCCAGCCCCGGCCAGACTCCAGCCCCAGAAGCAAGGATGTTAGCAAGTAGTCAACTGGAGTATCCACTCCTTGCTTCCTCCCTGCCTCTTAAAAGCCAACCCCCTCCCCCCCCGTTGTTTCTTTGCGATGCCGCCTGTCCCCCCTGCCTCCTGCTGCCACCAAGCAGCTCCTGTCTGGGCCACCACGAACAGGGGCCGCTGGACTCGGCGCGAGTAGAGACCAATCAGTCCCGGGCCTGGGACACCGCGCCTCTGCATTTTAAAATGCAGGAAGAGCCCGGCTGCTCTTACCCCATTTAACATGCAGAGCCGCAGTGCAGGTGGCTCCTGGCGCCAGCACGAGCTGGGACTTCTCAATCCCAGCTCAAGCCGGCCCCTGGACCTACCCGTGCTGCGGCTCTGAGAGCGGCCCTTCTCGACTAATCGTGTGGCTGAGATAAATGTTATCGACCACACCATTAGCCAGATCACTGCAATTTAACATCCTTACCCACAGGGCTGCCACCACCTTCCCACCCTGTGGCTGCCCCAAGCAGGGCTGCCATCCCCAGCGAGGCTCCCGTCTGCACTGCTGCTGGCCCCGGCCAGGTTGCCACCGGCTCCGCTGAGGCTGCCATCCCCACCCAGCTGGGCTCCTGGCCCTGGCACCACTGCCTCAGCAGAGCTTCCAACCACAAGCCCTCCTGTGCCCTGGGCCTAGCCACTAGGGCTCTCAGGCTCAGGAACATCTGTGGTCAGACCAGAGAGTCCGTTTTCAGAGGTTCAACCTGTATGGGAATGTCTCTATGACAAGCTGCCACAGCTCATCCCCTCCACCAAATACGGGAGGAACATGTGCGCCATACAGGGGCAGATGAGAGTTTTGCAAGGCCCCGGGCAGCATACTTCCGTGGGGCCCCCGCCCCGTTCGCCCTGCCGTATATCCGCCCCTGGCGCCATACATTGCTATGGTGAAGAAGGGAGCCAGATCCCACATGCCTGCTCTATGGGTCTGCTTTTAACGTGATAGGATTGCGATATGCATGCGGCCAGCCTCCCCTGAAAAACATGACTGATGCAACCTCACTCACCTGCATGGGAACAACTCCAGGAAGCTCTACAACAGCAAATCTCAACTGAATTTTCCTCAGTTACATCTGAATGAGACGGTACCGAGAACATTTTTACATTCATCAATAAGTCCAAATGGATCCACAACAGGTAATCAAAGGGTCCACAGAATTTCAGTCCCAGTGCTTCATCTCCAGCCATTAGTCCTGCCACCTGATTACTGCACGACTATGGTTTCACATCACATCTGTTCACTCGGGACCTCCAGGTACACTTAAGTTCTCAAGGGTATTTCAGGAGACACACAAACAGCTGCGTTCCCACCTCAGCAGTTCAGAGTTCTGAAGCCAGCTATCGCTGTAAAGGCAGGACAAAAACCCAAGACAGACAGTTGTGCTACAGATCCTTCAGCCACTCCATGGTTTCTGTGCTGCCCGATATAAAACCTTTAGCACTAGCATTTGCCATTCATCTGGAGGAGAGAAGAACAAAGAAACAATCACATAGCAGCAGTCCTTTATAGTGTTTATCATGGACAGATTAATACACATTGTTTTCTTCCAGTTGCCAAATACAGTGGGTACTCAGTCTAAATAAAATGTCCCTTTTTCAGACACTGCTTCTTTTGTCATGGATTTGCTGACAAATGAGCTATCACAACTTTTATGAGATAGGAACACTTGTGTTAGGTGCTGTGTAGGGCAGAATGAACTAGCGTTCGTGGGATAAGCCTTACAGTGTTTGTGTTCCTTCTCAAACTGAGGTAGCTGTAGCTCAGGAGACCCTAAGCTAGTTTAAACACAGCTAGCCCATTGCAGGGAGACACTGGCAAACGGTGTTCGGAAATAGCATCAGATAGCAAACATGACTTGTGAGGCCCTAAAAGCAGGAAAGAAGAGTAAGGATGCTGCCAAAGAAGAAAGCTGGACATGTACATGTGTACACTTTTTTCTGCTACCATTATAAAGTACACCCCTCTTCACAAGGGGGAACAGCTGGGACATGAATCTCTCTCTGAGGAAATTCATGTCACCGAAAAAGTTTGTGAACTCTGCCACAGCAATAGCTTGCATCCAGAGAAGTGAAGGTGCCATTTTAAAACCTTGCCCTTTCTATCAAGTGATAAAAACAACAAGTGGTCTGGTAGCACTTTACAGACTAACAAAAGTGCTACCAGGCCATTTGTTGTCTTTTTCTGTACAGACTAACTCGGCTACCCCCTAAAGTTACCAAGTGCTAGGCAGTCAGAAGAACAAAAATAAAGGTTATTTCCTGTAACCAGAAGTTCTTTGAGAGGTTTGGTCCCTCTCTGTATTCCACAGGTGGGCAGGCACATGCCCCCGGTGCCTGTTCAGCCATTGAACAGTCAGTGTCAGTCGGCCTGCATACAAGCAGTAGATCTCCCCTTGGCTCCCACATGAGGATACAAGAGGCAGTGAGGGTTGATTCCCCCTCAGTTCCTCTTCATACCAATCTAACCAGCTGTGAAGCAGAGAGGAGGGAGGGTGGGTCATGGACCACACATCTCAGAGAACTTCCTCTTGCAGTCTGCAAACTTCACCTCTTTCAGGAGAGTCGCTCCCTACGTGTGTTTCACATGCAGGGGAATGGCAAGCAGGGCTCAAACTGGAGGTGGGTGCAAGGAAGCCAACAGCAAAGATACTTGCACTGCTGCAGATGCCCGGACTAGTGCACAGTGCCATGCAAACGTGTGTCTGGAGCTCCAGGGCCTGCTCTGCATATGCCCTGCATTGAGAGTTCTGGCAGGGATACCACCATGGCGGCCTGTGCTCTCATGGAGGGGTGCTATGATGCCTCTGGCAGGTGGGGCATGAACTAGCCTATTGCACTCAATGCAGCCAGAAACCCACTTAGAAATCTTTTGAGAAGATACAGCTTGAACTTGGGATCTCAGCTACTGCAAGAGTATTTTTGGTGACTCTCTCATGGGTTTGGTTCTTTCCAGGTAAAAAGCCAGTGACTGCCGGACGTCAAAGGAGTGAAGTCTCTTCTCTTCAGAAGCATGGGGTTTGACCAGAGAGACAGGTAAGTGAACCTGCTGGTGAGGACAATGAAATTCAGACTGGCCTGAGAAGACATTCAGGATGAAGACACAGGGCTGTCTTGTCCTTCTAAAAGACTGTAACCCACAATGCCACTCTCCTGCGTGGTGGGATAGGAAGTGAGAGAAGGGGGCTCCCACTCATACCTTTTCTGGGTTTGACTATCAGACAAAGGAGATGGTCCGGGTGGGAAAAGTTGGATTTAATGTGGCTGCTGCTGAGCGAGTAGACTGAGATGAGCCAGGTCTGTAGATAACATACATGATGTCTGGCAAAGTGTGTCACATTCATACATGCCACTATATGGCATAGCGGCAATAGCCAAATTCCCATTGTGGATTTGGTCTGCAGGAAATCAAAGAAATCAGGTTGCACATCTGCAAGGAGAAAGGCTCTCGCAGAGAGTCCCAACTCTGCCCCACCAAAGTTTCTTGTTCTCATGAGGGATAAAACAGATTTCTCTTAGTTCATGCCAAACCCTCAGTCCTGCAAGAAGCTGAATGAAGAACTGACGAACTGACCTGACTTTCAACAGAAAAGATTCTAACAGGAGTCAGACATCCAGATAGAGAAAAACTGGATAGCCCTGACATCTCATCTGTGCTGCTACCACGGGGGAACATTCATAAACATTCTGGGTGCTAACACTAGTTCAGTGGAGAAGATTCAGAATCAGAAGTGCTCCTGTTCCAGTAAACTGTGTGAACCTCCCTGTGGGAAAGGTAAATGTCTGTATGAAAATATGCATCCATAATGAGGGCTGCAAATCATATTGCCTCCATGACATTAATGCTAATATAACCATCCGAAATTTTCACTTTCAAAGGAAGATGTTGAAGATCCAGAATAGGTCTCCACTCTGTTTTTTGGGGAACTAAGAAATATGGCCCCTCTTCCTTGATATGGAGGCAGGACGTGTTCCATTGACCTTAGATGTAATAGGGATTCCACTTCCTGTTGAAGAGAAGGGAAGGGGAGGAACTCTAGAGTGTATCCCTGATGGATAATCGCCACGACTCAGCTAGCTACCATGATTAACTCCCAGTTAAAGGAGTAAGGTGCCCCCCAAAGGTAAAGGAAAAAAGGGTAGGTGACATCAGATATGGGTCTCGACTAAGATGTCAGAAGTAGTTCCTAGCAATGGGCTAGGAATGGGTCATGGTTGAGGTGGTGCTTAAAAGCAGTGCCTGGTGTCTTCTGTTGCTTGCATGAAAGCATGAGGAGGAGGAGGTGGTTTTGCTTTATCTTTCTGCCTATGCTCCTTCCTTCTCCAGGCTTGTGGGCAGATCTCCAAGGAGCAGAAGGTAGACAGATTATTCATTAAAGGACTAAGGGAGCCATCAACTCTCTCACTGAAGAGGTTCAGGTTTTAAAGGGAAGATCTAGGATGGTATTCTGCGCTTCCCTGGGAAATCCCAGCAGACTGCAACCAAGAATCCCTCCTCACAACAGTACCAAGGCCAAGCTTGTTGATGCTTTATCCACTGCATCAACTGCAGTCTGAAGAGCCATTTTTCCCTGCTCTAGAACTGGGCTCTGTCACCAGGTGCAAGTTTGTCCTGAAATGCTGCCAGCCTAGAGTAGTTGTTGCCATTCTACTTGGTGATGCAGAATTGCAAGCTCACAAAGGACAAGACCTTTGTCCCTACGGGGTCCTATCGCTAGGAGCCTCTCTCTGATAGGACAGTCCATAGGTACTGTGACCTAGTCCTTTCTGTAGCAGCCTGTACCACCAGAGAGTCTGAAGCAGGCTGAGAACACAAACAATTGGCTCTTTCCTGGGATGAAAAAGCACCTTTTGGCACTGAGAGGTGTGGAGGCGCAGGATGCTGGAATGTGCCAATCCTGCTGGTTCCAATATGGTCTCATTAACTGGGAGGCCCAGTCTCTTTGGGCCCTGAAGCTGCAGAATGTTCAACACTGGATGGGTCTCTGACTTCATCCAGCTGGGTCTAGGTCTCATTAGCCATTTTTCGCACAAGTCACGGTATTACCGAGGCTGGTTAGTAAGTATGGAGAAGAGGAAAAGATTCTTGTTGGTACCTTGGTTCCGGTTCGACATCCTCCTCCTCATCTACCAGTGAATTTGGTTGCAGGCAAGAAGAGTGGAAAGCTTCCTGGGTGGGTCCCGGGCATCTACCATCCAGGATCCTACAGTCCCCAATAAGGCCCAAAAGAGGGCCAACCATTTGAATAGGAACCCTGGGCATGGAAAACAGCCAGTCCTTACGAAAGCGACTACAAAAGTGGCAACAGTAAATCTTGGCACACCTATTTGGGTTTGGCTCTCTTGGGAGCTGCGGGGGGGGTGGGGGGGGGGGGGGGGGGGGAGAGAGAGGAGCCAGCTCATCATGTTCATTCAAATCTGAAAATTGCTTCTGTTAGAATGGTAGAACTCTCAGCCCCAGACCAGTTCTGCCCAATGGCTGCAAGACGACTCCAAAAACACCAAGCAGCATCATGTTCTGGTGCGGTGACCCACCCGCCTCAGGAGGGCTGGGCCAGAGAAGAGGCGAGACCCCAGGTACAGGAGAAAGAAACCCGCAGGTGCCACGTAGGTCTGCAAGTCACTGCCTGATGCATGGGAGGGTCCAGAGTCAGCATGGACAGTACCAGTACGTCCCGGGGTGTGGTGAGTCCTTTGGCCAGGTAAGTTGTACCAAAGGGTCTGGGCCCACAACTATGGGCAGGATCAGCAGATGTAGCTGTATGCTTGTGGCAGAATCCACAGGCGGATTCTTCTTCCTACAGGCTTTACCCTCAAGCCTGGCTTGTGTGTGGAGTTTTGTTTTGGTCTGCATGTAAGGGTTTGCCTGACCTCAATGGGCTTGGGGAAGGAGCACATTCTTATGGACAGTCATTGATGGGGGTCAATCTTCATGGCCACGAGTGCCTTTTACTTCCACGGCAAACTGAAGGCTCCCCACTTTGAGGGCGCTACTCATTTGGTGAGGACAGTGTACACGAGTGTCTCGCTGGCTGGCTTGGAGAGGGGGCTCAGTCTTCTTCATCAAGTGTTCCTATGACAAAGGGCACAGGCTTTGAGTTCTCACTGGTAAGGAGACAAATGCTGCACTTAGCAAAAGTATGCATCTCACCCAGATAGTAGAGGCAGCCTTGCTATTCGTCACCGATGGGAAAAGATCTAAGGTGGGAAAGGCAGGTTTTGCAGCCCGGAGTTGTGGGCAGACTCCCACCCACATAATGGGGAAGAAGTCCTGATCTGGTAAAACAAACTCTATTAACTACACTAAGCTGAAAAGAATAGCTGTTCCATTTTTCAGAAAAGCTGTAAATAAAATGGTGAAGAAAAAATATTGGATTCCACCTGAGGCTGCATGGTGTTAAGGAGGAACTTAGATGGCCTCTAAGTTAGGAGGCCTCAGTTAGGAGCATCAATGTGCAGGCCAACAGACACCGCTTGCCAAAATCTCTGGGCTTAGGAGCATGGTGCGCATGGATACCCACATGTGGATATGCACAGGGTCCAGCACTCAGAAGAATCACCAGTTAAACACTTGCTTTGTTTAGCAAAACAAACTGAGGAGGATTTTGCTTTACTGTACCTTTATTCTGAGAATGGGATGTCCATGTCCCACCAATAATTAGAACAGTCCCTGGGCTCTGTGGCCACTAGTGTTCAAAAATGCTTAGCGAGGGCTTGTTTTGTGTAGGGTTTTTGGCGTGTACTGAAATTGGGGGTCTGTGCGTCTCTCGGAGCTCACTTGGAACAAGGGCTGATCACTGTTGGGGTGGGGGGGTAAACCAGTGCAACATTGACTCGCTCGCTGCCATTCCTGGGACAGATGATCTCTATCACTCCCTCTGGTCTAGGCTGACTCAGCAATTCTCCTGCAAGAGAAAGAGGGGAAAAAAAGCACCCATTGAGCACCACAGCCATATTCACAAGGCAGGTCATTGCACAAAGACCCGTGAGAGAGGCATCTAAGACTAACATCATACAAGGTTTTATTTGGAATGTTATTTTTCAACCCAACAAAATTCTCATGCATAAGCATGGTAGTGATTACAGCTGGGAGACATGCTGCTCCAGACAAAGGCAACATCTGCCATTACTCCTGTTCTAACCTGTATCACCACAGACTGGCTCAAAAGCAAATCGGGGTGGGTCTCTACAATGTAAGAGGCAAGGTCTGCAGGTTAGGTGTTCCTAATTAGAATTCAAGGACAGAGGGGATCTCAAATTTACATTCCAGCAAAGCTCTGCATACATACAAAGCAGCATAGGTGTCCAAGCAGCTGGCAGATCAGTGGAGAGAGCTATAGACAGCTCCCAGTTATTTGTGTCTATGCAATACAGTGATTGGCAACCAATGCACCGGCTCTACCCCACCCCCCGACAGAGTACCCCACCATGAAGTCAGTCAGTCCCAATCTAGCCAGAGGGATTGTATGACTCCCCAATAGAGACTGCATTCCTTTGCATTTTTGGCAAAAATGGCCAAATATCAGCATTGTTAAAAATTTAGATTCTGGGATGCAACTTCCCCAGGACTGCTGCTCTCTAGTTCGGAAATCACGCTGCCCTAAGCGCCACACCCAACCTGTGCCCTGAACCCCCCTACCCCGTCCTCTGCCCCTCCACGACTCCCAGCCCCCTACCCTGTCCTCTGCCCCTCCACGACTCCCAGCCCCTACCCTGACAGGCTGGTAGTAGGTGAACCACAAATACTATTTCTTTTCTTTTTACAAGGCAAATACTTATAATCTAGAGGTAACAGTGAGCGAGCGCAGTATACTTGGCATTCTGTGTTATAACTGAAATCAATACATTTGGAAATGTAGACAAGATCCAAAAATATTTAAATAAATGGTATTCTTATGTTTAATTGCATGATTGAGATTAATCTTATTAAGGACACTACAAAATAAAATTAGTCATTTCACATTTGCATAGATTAAAAAAATGAATGGAAAGAGACAGCAGAGAGAGGCTGGGTATGGTTTCTGTCTGTCTGCAGGTTTGCATGTTGATTAGGGTTGCCAGATGGTTGAAACAAAAATATTGAACCCCCCCCAAAAAAAACCGGGAAAAAATTCTGTTGGGGGGGAGGAAGGACTCCAAGGACTTAAGCCATAAAAAAACCTGACATTTTAGGTGTCCAGTATTCTCTGAATTTTTTTTTACTGGACAGGAGCCGAAAATACCGGACTGTCCAGGTGAATACAAGGCACCTGGCAACCCTAATGTTGATAATTCAAACACCAGTTCCCTTTTAAAGCTTCGACTCCCCATGTATTTAGTGCAGTTGCTAATGAGGACAACAGTCCAAGAGATCTGATGAAGTTCTTAAACTAAGAGTCTGAAGTGACTGAAAACAGAACCATGATCATGTACACTGCTTCACTGAGCTCATTCTTCTTGAGCACAGAACTCCCTTCCCCCTCCATGCTCTTGCATCTTGCACATGGATTGGGGAGAAGCCACTTTTGCTGCTTAGTGTAGGCCCGTGTTACAGCATGACTGCAGTGGCTTTGGACCTAATGCCAAAGCATCAGTATGAATGCAAGCAGCTGCCAGTTGTAAATAGAATGAACTTTGCAGTAGGATGAAGGACTTCTGGGTGAAGCTTACTCATTACTGTTAAGACCTTCCTGGGAAAAGGTCAAAGACTTTTCCAGAGGCAGAACTAGGAAAGTAAGAGTGATTCGTGCTTTTAAGACTCTTTCCAGTCAGGACTATTTGAATCTTATGTTTCGGAGCAGCAGCTATCATGGAAGGCTAGCATGCCATGTTTTGCTTATAAAGGGTTGCATCTCAGGGCTTGCCTCAAGGTTGACAACTTTCAGTAAAGTCACAGACAGTCCCCCAAAAAAGAGCTAACACTGGATAGGTCCATAAATTCTGTAAAAACACTTAGATCTCAGTTTAAAACACACTGAGTTTTGCAGTGGAGCTGAGAGGTCCCCCCCCACTGGCCCCTGGGCAAGCTCCAGAAGTCGACAATGCCTGGGGCAGACGTTCAGGAGAATTCTCCTGGCAGAGGTTCTCTACTACTGCTGGCTGGTGGGGACAGCTCTTCCAGCTGCTGGCTTTGAACTGTTCTTCAACATCACTAGTGCTAGCACAGTAGCAGCTTTTGGTGGGTGTACGTGCAGTACACACCACCACCAGGCTCCCTGCAGCTGGGTACAGTTGGCCAGGCGTAGCAGCCTCCCACAGGCTCCCCGTCATTGAGTCACACAGACAGTCACAGGTGGTCCCCTCCTGCGCCGCTGCCTCATCACAAACTGGAGAACTTGGAGGGCACTGACGAGGTGAGTAAGTAGGTTAAGCTATCGTAACACTGTTGTTGTGGCGTATAAGTAAAAACATTGAATACTGTTCTTTTTGAGCCCTCTTCAGAGTACACAAGAACGTGTCTGTAAAAGTCTGCTTCTCCATAATTCTGTACCATCCATAAAAATCACGTTCAGCAACCCTGGCTTGTCTACACACAAAGCGCTACAGCAGTGCAGCTCCACAAATGCGCTGGAGCACACTGGTGGTGACACTAGCACAACAAGAGAAAGCTGGCCCGTTAGCACAGTAAAACCATCTCTGCAAGTGGCATCAGCTACACCGGTCGGATCAGCTCTCCCACCAACAGCGTAGTCTACGCCGGCGTATAGGTCAGTGTAATATGTGTCACTCAGGGGAGTGGTTTATTCATGCCCCTGAACAACATAACTTACACTGAGGGCTTTTGTTGGTACGGTAAAACTCCAGTGGTCCGGCATCCAATGGTCCGGCACCATCTGGAACCCGGAAGTGCTCCCGGCAGCCGGATAATTGGAGCTGCTCTGCCCCCGGCTTCCCCGAGTCAGCCACTGGTCAGTTTCAACCGTGGCTGACTTGGGGAAGTCTGGGGCAGAGCAGCTGGGTGCTGCCGGGTTGGTCCTGCGGGCCGAGGGGCACATCCCCCCCACTTCACCCAAGACCCCTCATAGCCCCCCCCTTCCAATAGTCCGACATATCTGATAATCCAGGACCCCCTGGGTCCTAAAGGTGCCGGATGATCGGAAGTTTACTGTATAGGTCTACCCTGCAGTAAAATATTCATGGCTGAACCAGGTTCGAGTTTGCAGGGCTAACCATTGAAGTGTAGATGTTCAGGTTCATGCTGGAATTGGGCTCTGAAAGCCAGCAAAGAAGGTGGGTCTTGGAGTCTGGGCTCCAGCCCCAATATTTACACTGCAAATTTTAGGCTCATAGCCCAAATCCCACAAGCCCAAAATCAAGTCTAAGCTATGAGACTTGATGCCACAGGTTTTTTTATTGCAATGCAGACAGACCTTCAATGACTGACTCTCCGCAGGCAAGCTCACTCCTCCTAAAGTCACACAGGAGACCTCTCTCTGCGCTGGTGGTTATGCATTTTTCATACCCTCATAATACTGTGCACCACACAGTGAGACTTACGTAGATTCTACCCAGGAAAGCCATTGCTTCTTACTCTTCCCTTGAGTTATAATGGTTTTCCTGCTCCCGTGGTTGTTCACGGGACTCAACAGTTGGTTGTGAGCAAACACAGACAATACTAAACTAAATCATTTGTTCTTCAATAAGCAGAAATTGTCAAGTTTCATTAGTTACTGCAGCATTTGTGTGGCAGGAGTTTGAATCTTGTTTTCAGGGCAACAGAACTCCAGGAGTAAAGAAGATAAGCCATCCCTTATAAGCCTTTAGAGACCCAACCACCAAGTGGGGTTTGCATAAAAAACACAAACACATTCCAACCTCAGGTACCTTACAGCCAGTTAGCAAAGCATTCAGCTCACTAAAGACTGACCATTGCTTCCTGCTGTGAGTGACAGTACTGATGAAGTCATATTGATCCAATTCTGAATCTGCAGAAAGGGGGTCAGTGAACTCCTCCTAATACAGAGGTCTCTTCTCAGCAAAACTGTACAGTTTTCTAGGCTGGCATCATTTCATAGGATGGAAAATATTTGTAGAACTGCATAATAATGCCCTCTATCTACCTCCTGCAGTCCGGGCTCTGCCAGAACCTGATGACTGATGCGTGTATATGCCAAGACATTCATCAGAGCAGGGCCCACTGACCCAGGGCAGGGCAGGACGCAGTAGAAGTGCACATAAAAGATGTTTTAAGCTAGAAATCTCAGGAATGCTTTTTTCATGCTGGCAACTGGAGTACTTCTGAACTACTCTTCCCAGCAAGTACTGTGGATTCTCACCCCTCTTAGCCAGCTTTAAAGTATCTCTAGCTATGGATGTGGACATGCCCACAGGAGCTAAAGAAGGCTATTCTACACATGGTTGTTTCATGTACATGTATGTTCTCACCATCAGTTGGAGGAGGATGTCTACAAGAGCTGAAATTTACAACCCTCCCCCAAATATACAAGATCAGCTTCCTCATATGCTAACAGAAATTACAATGAGCACAGACCATGAAGCACCTCCTCACTGCAGAGCATTACAATAATAAAAACACAAGCACTAGAGAAGGTGAAGATAAAATAACCATCCTATTCAGAGACAAATCTCCCACCCGTAGAAAAATCCACTTCAATAAAATGCTTGAAATAATCAGATACAGATGGGAAAAAGCAGTCAGCTGCTAAAAATTAAACACCAATAATGGCTCTACCCAGACCCATTGTTAAAGATGTGACCAGCATGCTGAAAAGGAATAAGTAAGTCATTAAGAGCGACGAGGAGTCCTGTGGCACCTTATAGACTAACACGGCTACCCCTCTGATACTTAAGTCATTAAGGACTTCCACATCAGAGCCATGCCTGCCTTCTCCAGCTCTAACCCACATAGTGCTATCATGAATAATGCAAGGGCTGAGAGCTCTCAAACAGCTGTTCTACTTTCAGG